CATTCCTTACCTACACTTTCAGGCCAAAAGTGTTCTGAGCATCAGACCAACCTCAAATTCAACAGACACAAAGCTGGACTCATCTTTCCCCCAAACAAGATTTTGCTGTAGTCTCTAGTCATCAAGAATACCTTAGATCCATCCCATCACCTTCACTCTGGTGATGTGCGAACACCTCAATGCCTCAGGCTTGGGTTGTGGCAATAGGTTGCCAAATGCTTTCAATACTCTCCCGCATTCAACCTGTCTATTCCCCTATGGCTAATTTAATTCCTCAAAGTCCAAACTCCTCTTCCTACATGCTCAAATTTGTATTATTCCCCAACACAAACTTTATAATACTATGGCCATTTCAGGCTCAGAGTTCGGTTATAATGTTTCTAACCTACCTTCATTTTTATTTTAAGGAAAGCAAAGATATATATAAACAGCTAGACAAGAGAAAAGCACACATATATGTAAACAGCTAGACAAGAGAAAAACAGGTGAAGTCAACTCTGAAATGTGGCCCTGTATGCTCAACCTGGTCACCATGCCAGGCTCTCTTGGGCTGTTAGAGTATCCAATACCCTATTCCATCATTGGCACCTGCACACAGCATTATACTACTAGCTAGATTGTTAAGGGGAAATCTTCAGTTATATTTTGATCATTTGTGAAGAGGTGAATTAATATTACGTTTTAACAATGTTCACATTAATCTGAGGCTTTTCATACATATCCACACATTGGAAAAATAAATATGCCTAAATATTTGATTAAAAAGAATATAGTCACCATAATCAAAGCAACTAGCTGGAGGTTTGGCTTAAATATTATACTCTGCAGGCTGTGGAGGATGGTAGTCCTAACGGGTCAGGTCTGCCTCTTTTTTTTTTTTTTTTTGAGATGGAGTTTTGCCCTGTCACCTAGGCTAGAATGCAGCAGCGCAATCTTGGCTCACTGCAACTTCCACCTCCCAGCTTCAAGCGATTCTCCTGCGCCTCCCGAATAGCTAGGATTACAGGCGCATGCTACCACACCCAGCTAATTTTTTTGTATCTTCAGTAGAGATGGGGTTTCACCATGTTGGCCAGGCTGGTCTCGAACTCCTGACCTCGTGATCCACCCGCCTTGGCCTCCCAAAGTGCTGGGATTACAGGCGTGAGCCACCGCGCCTGGCCTGCCTCTTAAAGAGGGTAGTGAATGCATGGTCATAACAGTTGAGGATATCTCTACATGGCATAGTCAACAGTCTCTAGAAATCTGTATATTCAAAGGACACTTTGCACAAGCAATGAGTCTACAGGTGTTTTGCTGCGTACAACTGCAGTGCTCTTTTGTGCCTGTTATTACATAAGATGGGCACAGGAGATACTGTGACAGTGGCTTATATCTGGCTAAACCTTGGAAAGCAATTCCAGCTAATAATACAAGAACTTTAGGTATAATTTAAAACTAAATGGAAAATGCGTAACATTAGATGGTCCCTATCACTAGAGGGACTGAAACAGAGGCTGGGTACATATTACAGGGGCTTCATAAAGGAGATTCCAGCATCAACTGAGCAGGACAGGTGGATCAAATGACCATTTAGTTCTGTTCTAATTGTGACAATCTTGATAAATATTATCAAGGCATATTTGATTGAATTTATACATGTGTGGCACAATCTCTACATCGTATGCAACCTGAGATCCAAAGATAGATAAAGGAGCAGAAAAGGAAAATTGTTTCTTTTTTGCCCATCTAGTACAGTGGCTCTCAATAAAGAACTTTTTGGATCTCAAAAGAATTTCTGATGCCTCACCATCTCCATGAGGGCTTTATTATCTGTTGATTTTCAGATGGTATTTTCACTTAAGAGTCTAGGGTTTCTTACATGACCAATTTCCCACCCATGTCTCTGGAGGTTGGAGACGTGGGATGGTCATTATCCCAAAGATCTGAAAATCTCTGGTCCAGCTGCTATTCAATGTAGGGCTATTTAATATAACATGATCCAGAACAACAGAAACTTAACTTTCATTTATATTTTTGAATGAGCATTATATTTTCTCATATCATACTACTGGGGAACAAGGGAGCAAACGGTGTGATGAATGAGTCTTCCCTTTATAAGCTGGCTTAATCATGTGACTCTGGAACAATGCAGGTGGAGGTCCCTGGTGATGAGAATGACTATTTGAGGGATCCTCCCGAAACTCTACCACACCACAGTTACTTGCTCCCCTCCAATCCATTTAACTGACTTTCTTTTCCACCTACTAACATGATTGAAGTTTGTAAATGCTTAATTTTCCAGTTCACTATAGGATTGTGGAGAAACCACTCCTTGCTTCAAATGAAAAATACGAATTGTAATTTTGATAAAATATTTACTAATTCAAAAATCAAGAGAAAATAATTTCATGTCTTTATTATGCACACAATGGAAGAATTTTTTTTTTTGTAAAATACCATATTTTAGCATATGTAGATATGTGGATCTTTTTTTGAGACAGGGTCTCACTCTGTTGCCCAGGCTGGAGTGCTGTTGTTGTGATCTTGGCTCACTGTAACCTCCGCTTCCAGAGTTCAAGCGATTCTCCTGCCTCAGCCTCCTGAGTAGCTGGAATTACAGGCGTGCACCACCATACCCGGCTAATTTTTGTATTTTTAGTAGACACGGGGTTTCACCATGTTGGCCAGGCTGGTCTCGAACTCCTGGCCTCAAGTGATCCACCTGCCTCAGCCTCCCAAAGTGCCGGGATTACAGGTGTGACCCACCACGCCTGGCCAATATGTGTATTTTTGCTCTTCTACTCATAAAACTCTCCTGAGCTCAATGTAGTACTGTTCATTGGGTCTACAAGAAGAGCATAGTTATCTTAGAAATACTTCATTGCACAAGGCTGGCAGCTTGATCTTGTATGGGGAACTACCCCAGTTGCAAATCTAAACGTCTTATCCCCTACTGTAAGCTGGAAAAGAGGCATCAATAAGGGAAATTAGTGATAAAAGGTAGTAATTATACACTGCAGTGGCTGCTGGATCTGATTTAGAAGTCATAACTGACCTGAGCTTGAATCCTGGCTCTCCTACTTATTAGCTGTATGACTTTGGACTACTTAATTTTAACCTTTCTGGGCCTGAGACCCCATATCTTAGATAATAATAGCAGTTATCTCAAAGGGTTGCCGTAAGGATTAAATAATACATGCAAAGCACTCAGCGCAACATCATACTTTCAGAAATGTTGGCTATTTTGACTATTATTTCTGTAAATTGGGCACATCTCAATTACAGAGAATCTCTAAAGTAGTTCTGAATCCCATCTCATAGAGTTGCAAAGGGTTTGGTCAATGCAGCCTTATTTTTCACACCTTTTAATTTCTGCAGTAGGCTACTGTAGCAGTCACTAGCACAGGTGGCTACTGAGCACTCCAACTGTGTCTAGCTGGAACTGAGATGCGCTGTAAGTGGAAAATACACATCAGATTTTGAAGATTTAATACGAAGAAAAGAATGTAAAATCCCGATTTCTAAATATTTGATTAAGCGTTGAAATGGTAATGTCTCAGATATACTAGGCTAAATGAAACATATACTTAAAATTAATTTCACGCGTTTCTTTTCACGTTTTAAATGTAGCTATCCCAAAATTTAAAATGACATAAGGGACTCGCATTATATTTGCACTGGACAGAGTTCAGGTAAAACCTTGCTACTCAAAACGTGGACAGCAGCACCTGGGGGCTTGTTAGAAACGCAGATGTTCCGCCCGCACCCAGACCTATGCCAAGGCGATGCTTACATCTCGCTCCAGATGATTCCGCTGTTTAGCGTAATGAAGAGGGCCGATGTGGCTCAAAAGCCACATACAGCGAATAACTACTAACTGCTTTCCCAAAACAGCAAAGTGATGAGGAAGAAAAAAGTAGCTGAGAAGAAGTAACAGAGAAAGAAAAAGACACTCAAATTCTAGGAACAAAAAGCAGAGGAGAAAAACCCAACCTGGGAGATTAAGTGGAAGGGCACTCCCAGACCTCTACCTCCATAAAAGTACAGGGAGATGCAAACTGAGATAAGACCTACAATAAAAACCCGTCAAGGTCCAAGGAAACTGTCCCTCAAATCTAGTCTTACCCACCCCTCAGCGGCCTCAGCTAAGCTAGGCCTGGGCCCGAACAAGTCCCAGGTTGGGGTTCGACGCGAACCACCATCCTCCCCAGGGCTGCACGGTTCCGCGGGGCATCTCTCCACCTTTCGCTTAAAGTCCCATTTCCCAAGACACAGGACGCTTTTTCCGGGGCTCACCTGCCTCTGAGCCGCCACAACGGCCTGCACCTTCACCACCGCCACCTTCAAGTCCTTCCGCAGAGAGCCCGCCCCCTGCTCCCATTGGTCAGGCCGCTCGTCACTCCTGAAGGGCGGGGTCGGACTCGCGAGGCTGTCGAGAACGCCATGGCAACCAGTCTTGGAACTACATCTCCCGTGATGTTCCGCTCGGGGGCGGAGAAAGAGGCGAGGCACCGCCCCAAGGACTACCAATAAATGGGCGAAGTTGGAATCGCCTGGATGGGTTCCGTTTTATGCAAATCCTAACCGAAGATCACACCCTTCCTCATTCCAACCATGGGCCCGGCCAACCCCTCTGGCTTGTGCTTCGCCTCCTTTATCCTTTCCACATTATTCTCTCCTTTAAAACCTCCAATAATTAAGCCAATTAAGTGCATTCTATCTAGTGCCTCGCACGGCAACGAGCAGATGCACCGAAATCGTGCAACAAAATCTCCATAAACCACGATAGGCAACCTCAGACCAGAAATCTCCGGTTACGCCTACGTGGGGAAGAGGGGGAGAGTGCTAATCCTGCCCCCACTCAGCGCCTGCTGACTGGCTCATTCAGCTTGTCACTCTGTCGTCTTACATTTCTTTGGCTCCCCTTCCTCGGGTTCGCACGGTGGGCGGGGCCAGCGGTAGAGGGCGGTGAGAAGGTGCGGGCCCCTTCTTCCGATTGGCAGGCGGTTTCCCCACCCACTTATGGGCGGAGACGGAGGGTGGATGGGGGGCGGGGGAGGCAGCGGAGGGAGATGAGGAGATAGGCGGGAGCGAGGGAACGAGGGAGGGAGCGAAGGAGGTAGAGAGGAGTGGAGGCGCCAGGGGAGGGAGCACAGCTTGGTTGCTCCGTAGTACGGCGGCTCGCGAGGAAGAATCCCGAGCGGGCTCCGGGACGGACGGAGAGGCGGGCGGGGATGGTGTGCGGGGCTGCGGCTCCTGCGTCCCTCCCCGCGGCGCGTGAGCGACACTGATTTGTCCCTGGGGCGGCAGCGCGGACCCGCCCGGAGATGAGGTGAGGAGAGGGCTGCACGGCGGCGGCCTGGACCGCGGGCAGCGGCGGCGGGGGCGGGGGTCGGCGCGATGGCTGCCCCGGGCGTCCGTCCCGCGCCCGGCGCTTGTCCCCCCGGCCGCCTTTAGCCCCTCGCCGCGCGCCTGGGAGACGGCAGCGGCCGCCCCTCTGCCTCGTCCTTCCCGTCCTCGGGGGCGGCGACGGGATGGCGGGCGGACCCGCACTGGGAGGCCGGGGGCTGCGGTGGGCCGTGGGGTGATGGCCGTGGGACGGGCGTAGGGATGAATGGGCGCCGCGGCCCCGCCGCGGAGCTGGCTCTCTCCTGCCGCGGGGACCCCGGGCGTCCGCTCCTTCCCAGGCTGACCTCGCTGCCCTCGGCCGCCGGCGCGGGGCGGCCCGGCCTCGCCTCCCGCCGGCCTCCCGGGGACCCGCGCTGGCGGGAGCGGCGTCGCCTCTGCCTGGAGCCCCGGCTCCTTCCTCGCTCCCTCGCTCGCAAGCCTGCGGAATCCCGGGTCAGTGAAGGGCAGGCAATGCAGTTCGGCCCCAGGGCGCGCCGCGGGGCCGCCCCTGAAGGCATTTAACGGAGAGCGGCTCCCGCGCCCTGTGAGCGCGTCCCCGGATCCGCCGCGTCCCTTGCCTTCTTACGCACCGGCACGGTTTTGTGGTGTGGACCTGAGGCACAATTGCAGTCCCTTGCTTGCACGAGGGAATGCAATCAGAATTCCTAAAAAAAGGAAACCGGCGAGGAATCGGCCGCACCTTCCTGCGCCTCTGCTTGCTTTGGGGTTAGAAAACAACTTCGGAGATTACATTTCCTATGGGCAATCTTTTGTTGTGATTCAGACTCAAGAAGGCTTTGCTTTGGAAGAAATAGATTAGCGGCTTCTCTGTGGAGTTGGAGGCTATAGAGATTTTTATAGCCTCTTCAATATGAAAGTTTCCTCTAGAACTTTGCCATCATCAGTGCTATTCTGAGGGCAGCAGCAACCTGGAAATTTAAATATATGCAGGCTCCGGCCAGATGCGTTTCTTTGTGCTTGTCTGTTGGCATTCTTCTCTTGCTGCTCCCCTTGATCAAAATGTACAGATAATAAAAACAAGGCCAATGAAAAGGGAGGCTAGTAACAGCAAATCCCATACAAACAAATGCCTCTAGAAATTCTCAGTTCTGTCAGCGGGGAGGCAGTTTTGCTAATCCCGTGGAACGGATGAAGAGAAAGGCACAGATATCTCATGGATTATGTAGTGGACAGGATGTGAGGGCAGGAACTGGGGCCAGGACACAGCAGGCCAGCTGGTTTGCATGGTGCCACTCTAAACCCCCAAAATTTGAATAGGAGGAATGTATTTGTTGGGATACCTTTATTTTTAGATGACTTGAAGGTTGAGAGTGCGGAAGCTTAAACACCCTTCATAGTTATTATTTCTTAGTTTATCTCTGAGAATAAAATATGCTTCTGTTTAAAATTTCTTTTACTGGTGTGCTTGAAACGTTGTTTTGATGGGAGTTTCCTTGTAAGTAAAAACATTAAAAATTACATACATATGAAAGAAAAATCGCTAGTGCAGATGGGTTTGTAAAGAATCTAGGGACTTTTAAGTCATATAAATTAAGGAGTGAGGGACACTAATTTGATGCTGGTGTTAAAATTATTTCAGACACCTTTAAGTAGTCCAGTAAAGATCATTTCTCATAGTATGATCTTTTTTAAAAAATGGTATTTCATTATCTAGGAATGCTTCTGTTGAAATTGCTGGGGCGCATGGTACCTTCACAAAACTCTATTATTATTCTGCCTGAGTAAGAGAGGAAATGAACAAATTTTTAATGTACTTTGGAACCCTGTGGATTGCTCAGATACTAAGCATTGTGAAATAGGGCATAAAATGAGTGGTAGCAAGTTAGTTCTGTGAAATGTTTGTCCTTCTTAGATTTTTTTTTTTTTTTTGGCAGTCGACTAGCAATTTTCTTTTCCCTAAGGTTTATCTTCAATATTGGTAGTAGAACCTCTGCTCAAGTTTCTCTTTTCCCCAAATACCTAGATTGGGGCAAACTGTCAAACCTCCTGTAAGAGGTTAAGGAGGAGCTGCTGGTAATTTCTTTTTTTCTTTTTTTTCTTTTCTTTTCTTTTTTTTTTTTTTTGAGACAGGGTCTGGCTATGTCACTCAGGCTGGAGTGCTGTGGTGCAGTCGTGGCAGCAACCTCAACCTCCTGGGTTCCAGTGATCTTCCCACCCCAGCTTCTGGAGTATCTGGGACCACAGGTGCACGCCACCATGCCCAGCTAATTTTTAAAATTTTTCTAGAGACGGGGTCTCTCTATGTTGCTCAGGCTGGTCTAAAACACCTGCCTCAAACGATTCTCCCACCTAGGCAGCCTCCCAAAGAGCTAGGATTAGAGGGATGAGCCACCATGCCTCGTCCAAATTTCTCTACTCTAAATCGTTTTTTTAATTTGCTAAAATTTGGGAGTTGTAGAGAATTGATGACATGAGAGTTTGGATTATGTTTGCGCCTCAAATTCTTCTGCCATAGAGCTGTTCCCTTCTGAATGATCACTTCCTCCTGACTGGCTCCACTTACTGGTTGGGTTTCTTAAAGTGTGGACCTCAGATCACTTACATCAGCATTAATGGAGGCACCTGTTAAAAATATAGGTTTGGGGCATGGTGGATCAAGCCTGTAATCCCAACACTTTGGGAGGCTGAAGTAGGAGGATAGCTTGGGCCCAGGAATTTGAGACCAGCTTGGGCAACATAGGGAAACCTTGTCTCTAAAAAAAAATTTTTTTTTATATGCTGGGCTTAGTGACTCGTGCCTATATTCCCAGCTCTTCTAGAGGCTGAGGTGGGAGGATCTGGTTCACTTGAGCCCAGGAGATCACGGCTGCAGTGAGCCGTGATTGCCCTACTGCACTCTAGCCTGGGCAACAGAGAGAGTGAGCCTGTGTCCAAAAAGTAAGTAAATAAATACATAAAAATAAACACAGGTTTCTGTCACCTCACCTCAGAATCAGACAGCTGGAGGTGGGGCTCTGGAATTGGTATTTTTAATGCATTCTCTAGGACTTTCTCCTGCATAGGGAAGTTGGAAACCACTAGCTTCCTTCTCACTGAGCATCTCCTGAGACCAGCTCCTGGAAAAACTAGAAAGTTTTTCAAGTGGCAGATTAAGCTCAGGAAAAACTAGAAAGTTTTTCAAGTGGCAGATTAAGTTTTATGCCTTAGGCTGCTAATAAAAAACAATTGACCATGACTTTCCGCTGTGTAATTGTACCTGTCATACACCTTTCAGATGGCAGAGGCTTTGGTTCACCCCTGTACCTCCAGGGCCTAAAACAGTGCCTGGAGGAACTCAAACATTTGTTGAGTGAATATGTGAACTACATTGCAGTGAGACCAATCTTTTAAAAGTTTACTTGTCAAATCTATCAGTTAGTAGTCACTGATTTTAAATTAGGAGCCATAAGCACTATACCCCAGTAACTTCTGTAAGTTTGGTTAGTTTAGAAAGGAGAGAGCCTTTCCCAGACATAGTGTGCTCAAGGTGATTAGCCAGAAAGAAGATTCAGAGCAAAGCATTTGCTTAGAGAGTCAAAATGTAAATTTAAGTCACAATGTAGTGGTAAATCATATATCAAAGTTACATTTGGTATATTGTCTTATATCAAAATATCATTTTATAAACCATAAGTCCAACATACTGCTATAAAAATTGGTTTCTAACAAATAGAGAAAATTGTTATATTTTCCAGTTTCAACTTTTCATGCTAGTAAAATCTGACCTTTACACCTTCTTTTCAAGAGTTCACCACAGGACACCGTAGATATTATGCAGTTAAGAGCGCAAACTCTGGAGAATATTGTGTTTGACTACACAGTCAGTGAGTTTGATGTAACCTCTCAATGCCTCACTTCTCAGCTGAAAATAGGAATAGTAATAACAAAGTTCACCTACTTCTAAGTGCTTACATAAGTTTTTGAGACACACGCACTTAATAAATGGTAGTTACAGGGATGATAAACAATTGGGGTGTATAAAAATATGTAAAACTCAAAAGCTAACCCATTTAATTATTGTACTACTGTACTTTATGATAGTAAATAGAAATCTGTTGCTTAAAAAAGAAGTTTCTTTGGTGGTGTGCGTCTGTAGTCCCAGCTACTTTGGAGGCTGAGGTGGGAGAATCACTTGAACCCAGGAGATCAAGGCTGCAGTGAGCTATGATTGCGCCACTGCACTCCAGCCTGGGTGACACAGCAAGGCCCTGTCTCCAAAAAAAAAAAAGTTTCTTGCTAACTCCTTGGCACTATGTATAATTTTTTTAATTGAATGACTAGACTAAACATTAAAAGTATTTAATAAGCTACCAAATATGTATTAATAACTATAAGTTTTTGAAAATAAATACTAAATCTCATGATCACTTTTAGGTTAAAATATAGTTTATGATGAGCAACTAATATTCTTTGTATCTAAAAAGATAATTGTATGTTTTATGGTAGGAAAATTGAAATACAGAAAAGTATAAAGTGGAAAACTATGAAATACCCACAGGTCTACTACCTGCATACATATATCTTCAAATCCTTTTGTGTGTATGCATGTGGCTATTCATACACAATTTCTGCAATCTCAGCTCACTGCAAGCTCCGCCTCAAGGGTTCACGCCATTCTCCTGCCTCAGCCTCCCGAGCAGCTGGGACTACAGGCACCTACCACCACGCCCGGCTAATTTTTTGTATTTTTAGTAGAGATGGGGTTTCACCGTGTCAGTCAGGATGGTCTCGATCTCCTGACCTTGTGATCCGCCTGCCTCGGCCTCCCAAAGTGCTGGGATTACAGGCGTGAGCCACCACGCCTGGCCTACTTTTTTTTTTTTGTTTAACATCTTGTCATGAGTGTCTTTTCCTGTATATATGTATATTGCATTATAACAATTTCAGTAACCAAATAATATTCTGTTTTATGGATCTATGATAGTTTTTTTTTTTTTAAATTTT